ATAAGACCTTAAAAATGATATGCGTTTAACAGCAATATCAGAGACTTTATTCTTGAAACCGAGGAACAGCGTTCTCATGAGAACGATTGCTTTGTCATTGTCAGTGTTATGGAAATATGAATACGGACGACGAAGACAGAGCCTTCGTTCTCATGAGAACGCTGCTCCCCTGTTTCGAGAATAAAGTCCCAGGAAGTTCCATGAGCCCTCGTCTTGGGTCATCTTTTTTCCATTTGAAGCCTATTTCTTTTAAGATTCTACTCAATGGCATGCTACTGCCATCAAATAATTGTTTGTCTTTCAATTGCTCCCATATACAGGATAATGTTACATGTTGTTCTACAAGAAGAAAAAAGGCGATTCATAGATATCTATATGTACCTTTGTCTCAAACGATTTACTTTTTATACACATATCGTAAATAGTGTTATGTATAGCACTGCTATCGAGCTTTGAAACATCACAGACTCTCTTATTCGAAGTGCATCGTTTCTTAGAAGGCGATTCCAAATCTTCATTATTTTTTACTGCCTTCGAAATAGCACAGACAGTGGACATACTTAAGTTCAAAGCCTCTGCTACTCGCTAAAAATGAGAGAAAGTTCAAATAAAAAATTCGTATTTGGTCACACGACATCAACGACTTATAAACTCACCTTCCTAAGAGCATTTAAGGGACATTAAGGGCCATTATTATCGCGTTCTCGTTCGAAATATTGTAAAAAGGATGCGATTAGTTCTTTGCAACGGCTGTTAAGCTGCTTCGGCATCTTGTAGGTACACTTCGCACTACAAGCTGATTTCAAAAAACAAGGTCACAATTAACAGCACAAACCAAAAACTCGTAAACTGCCAAAATGCAATCAAAATGTCAAGAATTTAATTTGGCAACGTTACATTTTTTGACATGGGGTTACCAACTGAATGGCCAGCGGGAAATTCAAATTCCAATTAAGTCAATCCGACGCCGAATATTTTCACGGTTGGCGATAACGATTTTAAAAATGGCGTCATCGATGTCACAACAACAAGTTTATTTGGTATGAACTATATATGGGTGGAAATTGCCCACCACCATTTTTTGCCTTGGATAGAAATTCTATAGTTGTTAACAGCTTGATCAAGAAGGTCTACTCCTCCCATTGAAGAGTTATATTTATGGAACAACAGTCGTTGAGGTACATTTATTTTGTCTTTTTCCACCGAAGACCAACGTTTGACTTTTGATTGTGGCTCGATTCCATCGTATTTTGTTGCCATGTTGACGATATTATTGTCTTTCCATTTTACCAATAGTAGAGGAGTTAGTTTTGTCGAACATAATATGTCGAAAATATCCACGTTCTTTCTTCTTTATGCAGTTTTTAGGTGACAATGGACATTTTCTTGTCCTATTGTCTTGAAAATTTCTTTGTCGAAGAGTCTCTCAAACGTTTCTACAGGCGTTTCATTAGATGTGCACTCTTTCAGATCATTCAAACGATCATTATAGCCATTAGTTTCGTTTATTTCCAGGCTGATTACATTACATTACATACTCCATATAGGCTCAGGTTCTTTGTCTGTCTTGATTTTTTTCCGTGGATTTCGAACATTTTCACAATACATTTTGCACAACTCCAGTTACAAGTTCAGACAATGGAATATTATCATTGTAACTGTCAACCTCAACTGCAGCAGGTACATCAGACAGATCAGACAATGGAATTTCGTCATCGTCACTATTATAATGAACCTCAACTTCCCCAGGCACATCAGTTGGAAAATATAGCGTTTCACATTCATTTTCGTCGAAATTTTCTTCATCGGTTTGAGTGTCCACATCTGGAGGGATAAGTACAATATCTGCACGTTCGTGACTTGAACTGGGAACTGGCAACTTCGTCAAATGCAGTTTCAATTCTTTTGTGACATCTACCATAGAAAGATGTAAAACTTATAGGTGCAGAGTCATCAGCATTCATCATATCAATCGATCTACAACAAGACAAACCAAAATAATTGTTTGACCACGTATGTGCCCAGTGTACTCATATTTTTACATCAAACTAACATGCTACTGTGCATCTAAATAAAGTAAAATGGAACTCTGCTATATATGTATTACCCATAAATACATACCATACAATGTGTTTATGAATTCGAGCAAAATCTGAAATAAAATAGATTTTTCCAATAGATGAATAAAATCACAGCACTCGCGACTTTGTTTACAAAATCAACGCTCGTCTTCTGAATCACCAACAGCGCCCTCTACCGCCTAGAGTACATAAGTTGACTTTTTGTTCTTACTAGATGCCTAGCATGTAGAATTTCTCCTACTTTTATGCAATATCCAAATGAGTACAATGGGTACAAATAGGGTACTGCTCGCCTAAAACCATAAGACCCCATCGTGACCCAAGAACAACCAATATTGCACAGTATGTGCAAGGTCTGGAAAGAGCTCTACGAGAGCTTGCAGTTAAAACACCCAATAATGACTAATAATTGGAGCGGTATGCCGATACCATCCAACCACTGAGGATGTTCAAAAACTCTGGTAACACTGCTTGGTTGTGTCAGGAACTGGAACACCGCAGGACGACGACAAGAAAAGCTTTCAATAAATCTAAAAACACCAAACTACCTGAGGATTGGAACCTATATAGGTACCAACTAAACTACTATAGAAAAGTCGTACGACAAAAACAAAGAGATTCAGAAAGCTCTTAATAAAGACCCATTTCGGGAAATTGGTATCCTGTGCAAGGAGGATGGCACCTTCACTACCAACCTTCAAGAAAGCAGAGCTACTACTAGCAACTCACTTTCCTGACTCCACAACCACAATTGTGGAGGATCAGACGCAGGTAAAATTCATACCCTCTGTGGCTGATTGGTTGATTCTGGAGCCACTCTTGCCGCACCTGGTAGGGATGTTCAGGGCGTCCTTGGCTCTGAAATACATACCCAAGGCTTGGAGAGAAGTTAAAGTGGTGTTTCTACCCAAATCAGGGAGGATGGACTACACCACCGCCAACGCATATCGCCCCATAGCCTCTCATCATTTTCTCTAAAAACAATGGAGAGGCTATGCGAAAGGGTTCTCATCGACATTGGAGGGGAGGGGGGGGAGTTGACAAAATCAACTTTTAGAAAACTAGCCACTCGCTAAGAGAAAGGAATACTCCGGAAACTGTTACCGCATGGATATTCAATATGCTTTCCAAAAGAGTTGTACAGATGAGTGTGCAGGACGTTAACATTAAAGGAATGGTCACAAGACTCCGCATTGTTCGCCTAAACAATAACAACCACTACACAATAGCTAACGCAGATGCCGCAGTCATCTTGCAAAGAGAACATACGAGAACTTGCTTTGCGAACGCATGCAACATGCTCTTCGAATTAGAACGATGGTGCACAAAATACACTCTGTCCATCAACCGCAAAAATATTGAAATGGTCCTATTCACAAGAAAGAGGAAACTGGTACTTCCGACAGCACCCAGAATCTCAATCACCGAACTAAGTTTTGCCGCCAAGGTCAAATATCTGGGAGTGACACTCGATTGCAAACTAACATGGAACTCTCATATTGCCAAGAGAATAAGAAAGCATATATCGCCTATGAACAGTGTAAACGTAATATCGGTAAGACCTGGGGGTTCTCGCCCAAGGTAGTTATGTGGATCTATACAACCATCATCAGGCCTATGCTTACCTTTGGGGCTATTGTCTGGAGGGGGGACATAAGGCCGAACAGACTATTATAGGCCGAAAACTAGATCACGTTTAAAGAATGACATGCCTCAACACAACTGGTGCAATGAAAACCACACCAACTAGGGCTTTGGAAGTAATTCTATGTTTGACGCCCCTGGAAACTTATGTCAAAGAGGTCGTTTTAACCACAATGATGCGCTTCCGCATTGTTGGAATAGAACCAAGTGCAGAAGTCGGTTTGCAGAGAGCCTGCATAGGGCGTGAGGCACCGAACTCGCTTCCATTATTGGAGGCCAGAGTGGACTTTGCAACGCCATGTTTCGTCTTCAAAAAGCACTACGCAGTCAACACGAAAGGCATTGGAAACAACCAGTGGCAGGGGTAAGTAACATCTACACTGATGGTTCCAAAACTTAAACAGGCACGGGATGCGGAGTATAACTCCAATGCTCTCAAACTGAACCTAGCTATAGTCCTTGGCTCCATGCCTAATGTCCTCTAAACGGAAATTATGGAATAACCATCGTGGCCGAATGAATAGTCAGCAACAATATGACAAGATCGTGCACATCCACACAGACTGCAGATAAGCAGTACTAGTGTTATCTAGACCGCGACTTATGTCAGAACTAGTACAACATTGCCACCGTACACTCACCGAAGCGTTGATCAACAACACGGTGGTAGTCGGCTAGACAGGGACATGATCACAGCAAAGGCAATCGGGTTGCCGATGCTCTAGCTAGAAGGGCCGTCTACCCTTTTCAAAAAGCGTTGAGACGATACAAATACCTGCAACTTATCCAAGGAACTGCTAAACTACCCAGAGAAAGCTGCAGCCAGCCAGAAGCTGTCGTTGACCAGGAAAAGGCTACGCCTAATAACGGGCATCTTGACTGGCAACTGTCAGTTAACCAAACATTTGTTTAGGCTGCATCTCAGTACCACATCCTTGTGTAGGGCTGGTAATCAAGAAGATGAGAAGAAAGAGCACATTCGCTGTGACTGCACTCCTTTTTTGCCAATACGCATAGCCAGATCAGGAAAATCGTACCCACCGCTAGAAGAGATCAGAGGCACCGCCCTCGGCGATGTCATCGCCTACGTGGAATCGCTAGGGATGACGAGCTAAGGAAAACATCTCCTCTTGTGGAGGCGCACAGTGGACCTAATGTGGCCTAACCACCCTCCCAAACTTACAGATACAGAGATAGAGAGATACACAATCCTGGACGTCGTTGCTATAGAATAATTAGAATTTCGACAAATTAGGTACCTACACAAAGAATGTTGCCATTTTCAACCAAATGTATTTCAAAATCTATTTATTTATCAATATAATCTACAATTTGCTATTCCCCGACAAAACTTCTTGCACCAAATTGCAGGCACGCAAAGACGTCCCAGGCGCAGCAGTCACTCCATATCCACCGTGTCCATAATTGTGCACGATTTTCACCCTCTTACCGTCGAAACTTTTAATTTCCTTCTCAACCTGAACAAAAATCATTAAAAGGAAACTTCAAAAATCACAAAAAAAAAAATCTTACTCGGACAACGCTCCGATGAGGCCTCAATCCGACTTTGTGTCCCAGTACTTCGGCACCTCGAAGACTCGGTACCATCGCCTCGCATTGATCCATGATTTTCATTGCGTCGTACTTGTTGAAATTTAAATCCCAAGATTCGTATTGTCTACAGCCCCCAAGAGTTACTGAATCCAGGCCTGGAAGGATGTAGGTGTCCACGTCGCCGTAGAAAAAGGTTTTTATCCATGGAGCTTTCACCTAACAAATAAATAATTGTTGGTTTTATACGAGACAATAATGTGTAATACCTTTATGACTTGTCCCCTTATAGGTACCATGTGATGGTCATTGCATAGGAATTTTGCACCAAGTCCGCTACAATTTACTACAACATCATAATCCAGTGCTAGTTTTTCTAGAGAATCAATTTTTTGGTGTTTCAATAAACCTCCATCTTGTTCGAACTTATTTATAGTCCAAGGGATGAAAAATGATGTTTGCGTCAGCAGTGTGGTAAAGTAGGAGCCATATTTCCAATCTCCTGGACATAAATCGAGCTCTTCTTTTGTAGCTGCTCGGTAAACTGGACATACTTTTTCCATGAATCGATTCTGGATAATAAATATTTAAGTTTGTGTTTCCAGCCAGAAAAATGGGTTTACCAAATATTTACCCTAACGTTTTGTGGAAAGCTGCTGGAAAATATATATCCTGAAAGCTCGATGACTCCAGCTTTTATGCCTTCTTTTGATTTTCTTAAGTTGTCCCAGTACTCGTACGAGTCTTTCATCCATTTTCTGAAATAAATTTGCCATGAACAACACATGATTTCTGACTGCTTGGCGAATCATTTTTCTTAAGAGTTTAGATAATTTTCGTAAATATGTTTACACTTCCTCTTTTCCTAAATTTGCATCAAAAACTGGTGATGATTTAATCTAATAGATCTATGCCAAGGAAAGGTAGTTTATTAAAAAATTAGCCATTTATACTGGTGGTTTATCTATACCTAACGAAAAAAATATGCAAATCACAGATTATGGCTTACTCAGTAATCTCATCACTAGGTCCACAAAAGCTTCCTCCAGGCCGAAAAATTCCAGCAGCCACATAACTGGTCGTATCTTCGTAAAACCGATCGGCTACAATTTCGATTCTGGCATTTTTGTAGCGTTTTTTCAATTCCCAGGCCGTAGTAGCACCGACTACGCCTGCACCGACTACAGCTATTTTTAAATCACTCGCGGACATGATGCTGAACTTCACTGAAGTGACTCGTTTATCTGTTTTGATTAATGAGTGGTCATGCGATTCGAAAGTGTGGATTGTTGTTTGTCTTTTGTAATTTAATTGGTTTTAAGATAATAATGTAGTATAGTTAATGTGCCTTAAAACTATCGAATCACGGTTAGGCATACTTTTACCGATACCGGCCGGATTTTGATTAGGCCTTTCTATGACTAAATTTCAAAGATTGCCATAATTGTAAACGTATGGATGAGCTGAAGGATTCTGGGACTGCTGTAAAAATGCTTAATTGTCTAGAAAAAAGAGAATACTGAAAAAGACGTAATATCTGCCATATTTTGATTGTAGCCCCCTACAAAGCTATTGATACAGGGTGATACGTTTTTCAAAAAAAAAAAAAAAGTTTTTTATTAATAGCCCAAAAGAGCTTTAGCCGATTGCAATGAAATTTTCACGGTTTATTTCAACCATTATTAGACATCTACTGGACCAATTAGATTTGATCCAGAATTCCCAGGGGCATACCCAGCGACCAAGTCGGTTGTTTTTGTGCAGAAAAAAATATCACTCTGTAGTTTTTGTACGACTTACCATACCTCGGCACGTCTCTGGACTCCATAAGGAAAGATAAAAATTCATAGGAATTAAGGTACATCACCCATTCATTGAGTGACAAGGACATAAGTTCCATTTGAGGTTTTTTTTTTGTTTTGTTTCCATAAATCAACAAACTCCGATAAATTTTTAATCAATTCCTAAGCATTTTTATTTTTTCGTATGGAGTTCAGAGACATGCCGAGGTATGGTACCTATTGTAATTTTTCCGCGAAAACGAAGCGAGATAATTGAAAAATTTAAGAGACCAAAATGTTGTATTTTTAGTGTGTCTATCTGAATAATCAATAAAAATCGTACAAAAACTACAGAGTGATATTTTTTCTGCACAAAAACAACCGACTTGTTCGCTGGGTACGCCCCTGGGAATTCTGGATCAAATGTAATTAGTCCAGTAGATGTCTAATATTGGCGAATCACCCTGTATCTTGGAAACAAAGCGTTTCCGGACCTATATCCATAGCAACTTTTTAAATTATTTTCATGAATACTATCTGCCCTTGAAGTTTATAATACCATTTCTGAAACACCCTGTATATCAGCATTTATGTTGGAGTTGTTCGTATTTTAGATTTTGTTGAAGTTTGTATTATATATTATTAATCTCACCTTGTTGAAGTTTTCACTTCTGCCGCGTGATCTAAGCACATACATGTTTTTACTATTAGAAACGATCTATTTGTATTTTTCTGGTTTTTTATTCTAGACTTGAATTCATTTCTATATAGTCTAGCTACGAATATTGTACAAAAAATATTAGATTGTAGATTGCATATGGAGTCGTTACGGCTAGTTACAGCCGCTCAAGCACTGCTACCTTTCCAGATATTATTTTGTGCGTGACTCTGCTTCTAGTTGGTGTCCAAGATTTGTAGGCTTCTCCCAAAGGAGGCCAGCTTCCTGGGTGGTAAGGTGCCAACCTCTTGGTGGGTTAGTCGTACCTTTCAAGGTATTTCAGCCTCTTGCAGAGGTGTGAAGGGCATTCACAAATTAAATGTTCTGTGGTTTCTGTTGCTTATTCGCAAAATCTACAGTGGTCGTTGTCTGCTAAGCCTATTGTTTTTAGGTGATATTTCACCAGGCAGTGCCCAGTAAGCAGATCAACGACTGTTCTAATGTCTTTTGTGTTCATGTTGAGGAGCTGTTCAGATCTCTTTGCTGAGATCGATATAAACCGTTTTGCCTGTCTCAGACCCGGGACGGACCTCCAATAAGCCAACATTCGGTTCCTTTCCCATTTGTGTAGTTCTTCGGAGGCGTAGAATTTCATTAGTCTGCAGAAAGGCTCTGGGCCTTGAAAAGGTGTTATAGCGCCTTCCTTTGCGAGATGGTCTGCCTCCTCATTGCCCTCTATGCCATGGTGTCCTGGTACCCACATCAGGGTTATTTTGTTCCTACCAGGATCTTTATTCTTGAAACAGGGGAGCATCGTTCCCAGAGGAGAACGAGTGTCTTTGTTACTTATATTATCATATTGGTATTCTTCCACAACCACTTCATATGGAATGTGAAAGTCCAGTGATGTCATATGATCAGTTGGTTCACTTTGTCACTCTAGCCTTATGGCCTGAATAATGCGTAAATGGCCGTTTAAGTCACCAGGTTTTATTCTTTTTGTCTGGGATAGCCTGCAGGCGTCTATTCTTGCTTCTTTTTCCAAGGCTGCGGTGGGGCAGGTTGACATAGCCCCTGTTATTCCTAGACAGATTAGCCCTTGTACTTTTCGTAGACTGTTCTGTGCAGTAGGTAACTTGCTCAGTCTTTGGCCACCGTGCCAAGGAGGCGTTAGGTGACAATGGGTCTGATAACTGTTTGGTAAATCCAGTATACCGTTTTTGGTCTTATCCCCCATGTTGTAGCTCGTGATATTGTTTTCTTCAGATGATTGTTCTAAGGAAGTTTGCCGTCAAAGGTGACTCCTAAATACCTAACTTCATCCGAGAGAAGTAATTGTGTTCCATTCAGATTGGGGGCTCGCAGATCCAGCTTCCTAATGCTTCTTTTCGTAAACGGAACTAAGGTCGTTTTGCTGGGATTTATTGAAAGTCCTTCTTCCTCACTCCAGTTTTTGAATATATTCAAAGCAGTTTGCATTCGACTTGGTATTATGCTCTCATACTTGCCTCTAATTATTACCGCCAGATTATCTGCGTAGCCTAGGACCTAGTGATTCTTTCATTGCTTAGTCTGGTAAGGATGCTGTCTACTACCAATGTCCATAGAAGAGGCGAAAGGACACCTCCTTGGGCTCCTTGTCGACAAACTTTCGCCGTGGTGACAGTAACTGTTTCGCCGTTCGAGTTGGCTGCTTTGAGCAATGTTTTAGCATGGCTTCTGTCCATCCTATAACGGGAGCTTCTACCCCCCTATCTTCGAGAGCTTTTTTGATAGATTGGTGTGAGGTGTTATAAAAGACACCCTCTATTTCTATAAAAGCTGCAAGAGCGATTTCTTTTGCCTCGAGTGACTTTTCTAGACAATGGAGTGCACTTTGTTGTGGATTTGCAGGTTTGATAAGCAAATTGTCTTGGATGAAGTGGTGCCCTATTTAGAATTTCGCTTCTGATTTATGGAGCTATTGATTTTTCCATGTATCTGAGGAGAAAGGATGTTAGGCTGATGAGTCGATAGGATTTTGGTTCATCATCCGGTCGGCGCCCTGCCTTTGGATTGAATGTCACACCAGCCTTCCTCCAGGCTAGTGGAACGTTGCCCAGGCTGTAACCCTTTTGCAGCAATGCTGGAAAGAAACCGTCCCTTCCTGGGGATTTATACGGCTTAAAGCTGTCTAACGCCCATTTAATTCTGTTTTGCGTGAATATTCTCCTTGCCAGCCTCCGACTTCTTTCGTTTGGGAGCATGGCTGGTTCTGAGAATTTTCCGCGATTGATCCCGGAAAGTGAGTCTCCAGTCAGACCTCTAGACTTTGTTGTTGTACACAGTACTTTCCATTTGGCTTTTTCAGAAGACCAATGCCGTTCGAGTGGTTTTTTTGACAGGACTTTTTGTAGACGCTGTGCACATCCCCTCACCCTTCACAGAACTGTCTCCAGGTTCTCCTTTTGGACAAAACCCTAATTCAACTGTCAGTTTAGTGGAAAGGATATACTAATCTTCGACACCCTGTTCATTATTGAAGACCTCTATCAGTTCATTGGGACGGTGTGGCGGTGGTCTATGGGCCGCATCCAATACGTCCGTTAGTAGAGATACCGGAGGGTAATGGATATTTTGCTTGTGCCTTGCGAACTCTAAATACCACATTATACTTGCAACATGCGCAGATGTACCCACTGTTCTTCTGCCCAATGTATGTACCTATGTACAGGCTGGCCCGTTTAAGAGGGGCCTATACCTTATCTCGAAATCTACAAGAGCTGTAAAAAAAATTAAATACAAAAGTTGTTTCTGATAAAATTATCTACAATGTTTTTGCATTGTTTTTGTTGTCACTCTACTATATACAGGGTGGACAAATAAAATTTCTTTTTTTTTAATGGAACACCATATATTTTGATACATTTTCACATAGCCCTTTAAAAGACAAATCCAACGATATGCTGGACATGTCTCTGTGATACACCGTTTCGAACTTATTAACGATTATCTTCAGGATTTGTGGTAATTTTCAACAGTCATTGTTACGTTACTCATAAACTTTTGAAACTTTTTTTTGCATGATATTTTCTATGAAATTATGCTCTTCTTTAGACTATATTCAAATTTGAAATATTTGTTTAAAAAACGCGATGTTGCCACGTTTCGCAAAATGTTACGCTTTTCAATTTTTTTAAATGGGACCTCGTGTAAATTTTCGAGTTTTTGATAGCCCTGTAAAAGACAAATTCGACGATATACTGGAAATGGGCCTGTGATGCACCGTTTCGGCCTGATTGGCATTTATCTTCAGTTCTAGCACACTATCTCGTGTCATCCCTGTTGAATAAAAAAAAAGCCTAATTTCACAGTAGATTAGATAGTGCTTTTTATGCGTTAATGATGGCATTATTAAATAATTTTTTATACATTACATTAATAAAACACGTTAATAGAGGCTCGACATAAAATAGACATTTTTGTTATTTACCAGGCGACTTAGACAGATCAATTATGGCCATTTGCACGGCTATCACTTAACTACCGCTTAAGGGATATTGAATCTACGAGGAGCTTTGAATGTGACTTGTTTCTACAAGAGTCACATTCAAAGCTTCACTTGGATTAAATATCCCTTAAGTTGTAGCGTTGCAAATGGCCGTTATTGTGCTAAAACTGAAGATAAATGCCAATCAGGGAAACGGTACATCACAGCCCCATTTCCAGTATATCATCGAATTTGTCTTTTAAAGGGCTATCCAAAAACTCGAAAATTCACAAAAGGTCCCATTTAAAAAAATTGAAAAGCGTAACATTTTACGAAACGTGGCAACACCGC